TAGCGTTGCATAATTTAAGGATAATCCTTCAGCGTTTTATAGTCTATAGTTTTAATGGTCTAATATCTTCTTAGTTCTGCCATTTGTATAGCGTTGCGTACAAACGTCTGTAAGTGTGAACGCCTTTAGGATATGTTGAGTTTGCAGGCAGTATATGGAAGAATTGTGTATAATAAATAATTAAAAATGAGAAAACTTTTGAATTTTATTTTAATAATTAAAAAACATTTTTGCTATATTATAATTTTTTTGCTATAATATTGCTAAGATTATTATAGATAGATACTTTAAAAAAAAGTTTGGTATAAATATTACTATAAATACAGCTAATACAAGATTGAAAATATTCAAAATTTGTTAGGGTAGGTCTTTAATCCCCTTTAAGGTCACTGGTGACAGCGCACTAAACCACTGAGCTATCAATGATATCCGTTTAGGAGAAAAACAAACCTAATTATAAATCTATTATAAGCCCTAGATATATGGAAAAGATATGCATGTTTTTTTTTGTTTTCTTTTTTGCTCTTAAAGCAATTTTTAAAAATGATTTATTTTACGTAAAAATAATGAAGTAAACAAATAATAGGTATAAAAATGATCAATATGAAACAGATAAGTGTAGAAATGGTAGGTTTGGACCCGTATTTTATGGTAGGTAGGTATTTTATTTATATGGTAGGTATGGTAGATAGGTATGGTAGGTTTAGGCCCGCATTTTATGGGTTCAGAAAACTAGGATATATATATATAAGGAAAAAGTACAGAAAAGGTCAGTGTGGAATAGACTTACAAAGACCCGTATTTTTACGGGTCAGATCAGCTAGTCAGAGATTAATAACATACCTGTTGTAATTTTTGTATAACATTTTTTACTTTTGTGCATTTTTTGTTTTTAGTTCTAAATGCACAGATTTTTGTATTTAGAACTAAATTTTTTCTAACTTTTATATTTTTCTCCTTTTTCTAACTTTTATATTTTTCTCCTTTTTTATATTTTCTAACGAGAAGTTATTTTGCTTATTAAATATTCTGCTCGAATGTTTAATTAAAGTAGTAAGATCCTGTATGTTTTTATTTATGAACAAATGCTCAACTTTTTCTACAACATAGTTTGAAGTTCGGTATTGAAATTACCAAAAAATAATATTATATATCAAATTGTTTGAGTAGAACGAATAAAAGGAATCATAAGAAGGCATTCATTGCTTAATTAATGCTAAACTGTAAAAGCGAGTCTTTTTTGAGCATCAAGACTCGATTAGATCAGTATAACTAAGTTTTTTGTAAGTTATATAGCAAGCATAAATATAAAACTTACCCAACTGTATTTTTAATATAGATCAAAAGAAATATCAATTTTAATTTAAACTCCTCGTTTAGCTGCTCTTAAGGGAGACAAAAAAGGTAGAACAAGCTGTATATGCAAAAAGAAACAAAATGATCAAATTTTGTGTCATGATTAGAGAAACCTTATTGCAAGTTTTTATGTTTCGTGATTTTAATTAAAAAAAAAATTTTTAAACACAAAAGGACTAATAAACTCTTTTGGTTAAATAAATGGAATTTGTTTTATTAAAGTTTTGAAACTTATCTATAATTGAATTAACTGTACGATAAATATATGTCAATTAAAGCAAGAAAATTGTAAGTTATAGTTTTACCATAAATACTTCTAACTGTTAAAATCCAACCGTTAAAAATAATATTTAATTTTTCTTTAAATGGTCAAAATGGCTCTACAAACAAGAGGTAACAGTCTATGTGAGCATTGTGGTAGATAAATTACATAGACCATTCTCTCCGTAAAGCATAGTTTCTTCGAGAGTTGGATGAGATTTGATGATTATGAAGTCTCATAATCATCAAATCTTGATTTGATGAGTATAAAATTTATAAAAAATTTATCTCTGAAATTTATCTTAATTATAAAATTGAACTTTTATTCCTAATATAAGCATTCTCAGTTTAAAGGACATGATAAACTTCTATATTCAAAAAATACACCTGAAGCAAAACGTATAGACTCGAAAGTTTTCGAGTCATCCTCGACTTGAAAATTCTCGAGTTGTACACGACTCGAAAATTCGACATTGGCTATTCAATGTACAATGTTAAGTAATTCCTTGTTTTGTTCCTTTTTTTTTGTTTTTAATTTTGTTGGTATGTTTTTAATATAAGTTTTTGGTTTTTAAAGATGTTTTGATTTTAGTAAAATTTATTTCAATGAAATTTTTTACTGTTGTAATATAAACACATTGTCTACCAATACTCTCCATGCTGTGTACTAATGCTTTCCATGAAATAGAAAAATCTAAATTATTGAACATAACTATTTATATTTTTAAACAAATAAGTTAAGTATTAAAATGTTGCTGATATAGAAATCGATTAAAAAATTTAGCTGAAATTGTTTAAATTGATAAAATTGTTTTCTGTGTCATACTGAGTTTTTCTGCAATAAATAATAATCATCAATATTAATTTTGATGCTGTATGGGCTAGACAAATGAAATCCTATAAGTCTTGTACCAAAATTGATTCGATGTTGTAAAAAATATGTATTTTTTACTGTAATCGATGTTTAGTATATTTAATTTTAACTTATTAAATGTTGAAATATAATTTAGTCAAAAAAAGGTTTAGCTTTATTTTAGCGTTACTTTGCGCAACTCTACCTACTCTAAAGAACGCGTTTTTTATACTATAATGAACGCAATCGTTGTAGTATAAAATATGTATATATATATATATATATATATATATATATATATATATATATATATATATATATATATATATATATATATATATATATATATATATATATATATATATATATATATATTTAGCAATAATATAGATATATGAATTTATTTATTTTAAGAGTTAAAGTGAGACCAGAGGACAGTGAACCAGAATCGTTCAAAAATGGCATATCTATTTATAGATTAAATATAGACATATAATGCAGTGTTATATACGAGTATTTGGGGCCAAATAATTGATTTCTAGTATCCTTTTTTAGTCGGTCAAATTGTCATTTTAAAGGTTGTCAAGGCAGGGGTGGATCCTTCATATTTTAGTCTTTGAGATAGCTAACTTCCAAATTTAGAATAAACTCCTAACACTTATATATTTATACTAACTAACACTGTCAAATGAAGATGCTTTGCAATGATTTAAGCCTCGACTTCACTTCACTTCTCAAAATAAATAAAATTCATATATGTAAATGATTGCTAAAAACGGCCACCACTTGCGCCCCTGAAGTAATTGAAGTAATATAAACCACTGGCGCCCATGAAGTTACTAGGTTTTTTAATAATAGTCAAAATAATATAATACAAGAAAATTAATTTTAAAAATAGAACAAAAAATGACTGAAAGCATTTGAATACTCAGCTTAATTAAAACGAATTAATAATACTTAAATCGAGATTTTAAAAAAAATTTCGTCATTGACAATCTATAGCTTAGGTGAAAAATAAAATTAAATCAAAATTCATTGTTTAATAAAACTACTTCTGCTTGTTTTTTTTTTAAAAAAACTCTTTTTTTATTCTTCAAGTTTTTTGTCTCTACTGAGTTTAAGATTATAACAAAATCTATTTGTGAACTTTTTCGTGATTTTGCTCAGTCGGTTTACTTCAAATTGTTTTGAATAAAATTAAAAAAACATCCTTGATTTAGACATGATAGTTGATTAAAAGAGCTAGAACTTTTTAAACCCATAATTTCCTAAAAACAAATGTGCTTTTTTTTACTTATAGTTATAATGATATTCAATTTAAATTTTAATACTGTAAGTTGTAGCTGAATTTCTTATTAATTTTCTATTGTTTAAATGTCTTTGCAATAGCTAAAATAACATTCCAAGTCCTCACTTAAAAATAGTATTCGAGAAATTGAGATTTCACAGACCTGGAAATTAAAGCTTAAGTTAGGATTATATATACAGCAAAATATGTAGAGATTTTTAGCAATCATTTAGATATATAAACTCGTTTATTTTGAAAATTGAAGTGAAGCCGAAGGACAGTTGATCAGAATTGTCTTAAAATGGCATATCTATTTACAGCTTAAATATGGGCATATGATACATGTTTAATATGGGGTATTTGAAGCCTAATGCCTCTATAAAAAATAGCATTCAAGAAATTGATATTTCACAGTCTGGAAATTGAAGCTAAATTAAATATGTGGTAGTGGTGTAGAGGTAGAGCACTCGCTTCATAAGCGAAAAGTTCTGAGTTCGATCCCCGCTAGTCTGGTAGTACCGCGCTCAGCTTGTTTTCCGCGCAGCGGCCTTATTCGTCAAGGTTCGTGTTTCGGATTTATAAAGTTGAGTGAGGGTGATAACCACAGTTAAGTAGCCTCCTTGTATGTAGTGCCGTTTTTGGCCTTGGGGAGGTAAAAAAAAAAGAAAAAGCTAAAGTTAGGATACGGAAAAAGTTATTAAAGTTTCCGCAATTATATAATATTAAAACATATAATATAAATGTTTGATATATATTATAATGTAAATTATTTTCAATTAAACACGCTTTGTTGTCCGCAAGAAGATCTTTGGTATTTTTCTTTTAAACAACCGTTTATTTTGCAGACCAAGTATTTTACGGAAATAACTCGATTGTTTAAACTAATAACCGACTGGTGGTAATTTTTTGAAAAACATTTCAATTACTCTGAGCACTGAGAATTTAGTTTCCTAAAACTGATTTAATAAATGTTGTTCAACCCAAGCATCACACAATCTTTCGCAAAAAAATTAACATAATTTAGGCGAGTTGACATGCCTTGATCATGCCAAAACCCGCAAATCATAGATAAAATTCAAATTTCTCTATATATTTACGTCTTAAATCATGAAACAGTTTTCATATTTTCTAAAGTGTCAATGTGTTAAAGCAACTTTGATCCAATTTCCTATTTTGCTATACTTTTAATTTAATAAAAAAATTAATAATTGTTTATTTTTTAAAACTTGCAACGTTACCTACCCGCCATAAATGTGGTTACAATTAGTATTGAGCTACCCCATAACCAATGAGATCTGTTTTTAAAACAGCAGAACAAAAATAATGCACTCCATATAGACAATAGAGCAAAGGCTCCTCCAATGATAATCAAAATTAAAATAATATCTAAAAATAGAATGTCTACCAATAAACAATTATACAAACTTAAAAAATAAAAAACAGAATTGCACATTTTTAAAAGATTACAAACAACATTATAGTTACACTGTATTACACAAGGTAACAAAGGTCTTGCCCACTTAGATTTTTTTATTATATAAAAATCACATTTGCTTTGATGTAACATTGATAAATTTTGTTATATAAATTCATTGATAAAAATATTATATTTTCTTGAGATTTCTTGATGAAATCTTTACCCATGCTCCCCACTGACATTCCCAAAAATCACCTGAAACAAAAGATCTAAGTTTTCAGTTAAGATTTTAGGAAATAAATCAAGGTGTAACTGCAACATATGAAACTTTATAAACATAAGATAACCTAGTACCTAGTTTCTTGAATAAGTTTTGCAACTAGTTGTTTGTTGCAACCCATTGCTTGTTGCAATCAAGGGTCTTTGTGATTTTCTAATAATTTACAAATATCATAAAACGCCCATCAAGCTTCTTTTTCAACTTTGTTATCGATCTTTTGACTCTCTTTGGCTTCAACAGAAGTCAGAGAAACTGACTTTTGGGGAGACCAAAAAAGATGCAGTCTTTGAACTTTTGCTTCAGGCAGCTTTAGAAACATAAGACAAATTTATTGAAAAGTTTTTTGTACAAAATCTAAGACCTTTACAAACTCTTTTGCCAATTCTGGTTTTGTATAAGACTTTGTTGAAATCTTTTAAAGGCTGATTGAGAAAATAAAACAATTTTAGCTGCATTTCCACTTGAATTGAACGTTCTTGTAATTATTAAACTGAACTTTCTTGTAAAGACCATCACCAGCTCTACTGCTCTTTAAGCTAAGAAAACATAAACACTTTGTGTATCCTCCTTAAAACACAAGCAAGAAAGAAGACATTTTGATAACAAGAATTCTTACAAAGCATAGATTGCAAAAGTCATAGTAAATTTTAAATTCTCTATGTTGCTTTTAGTACATGCATGTCCTTGCCTAGTAGATTCCAGTACATCAGCCTTGATAATATATTTTTTGACTTTTGAGTAAGATCTAAAATTCTGATTAAACTATCTAGCTCACTCTAATTTAGAAAATGAGGCTGGACAGTTGTTCTTAGTAAAAAAACATTCTACATGACTTTGCTACCATTTCGATACTTAAAGGTTTAACTTAAAGATTTTACGACGTGAAAACGGATTTGAAATATCTGTTTATGACGTATTCTTCCTTCCTAGCTGCAAGAGAAGCCTACTAACAACCTTCTATGAAATGCCATTGCGAGGCACTGATGATGAATAGGTGCTCGTTTGCAGGTAAAAAATTTAAAAATTTTAAGCGATTAAATGATACAGAGAAGTTTTTCATATACTTGAAATAAGCAGAAAAAGCTGAATAATAAATAGTTTATAGTAGGCAAAAAATTTGAAAAAATTTGTAACATTGTGTTATACATAGTATAAAATGACCTTCAATTAAAATAACATTCATTGTAATAATTGCCAGAACTAAAAATAATTAAACCACTTAAAATAATTTAATTGAATTGCTTAAATTTCAATATTCTTGTTATAGAGCTTTTTTTTTTTACCTTTTTTCACAGAGACTTGATCATCCTGAGCATTAAACTTTAATACATTTGTTCTATAATTAATGTCACTTCCAGTTGATGTGCTCAATAACCCTATCTCTTTATTGTTATCATCTTTCCACCAGAAATTACCAACAGCACCAACTATCAGACACGCTAAAGCAATAGCTAGAATTGTTGTCATTGTTACAATGAGCAGAGGTTGAAATATTGAACCCATCGTTCAGCACTTTTCTGCACTTAAAATAAAAAAAGGAAAAAGAAATTGCCACTTGATATCGTCTAGAAAACATGCAATTTAATTGCATTATTAAATATTAGTACCAATTAGTAAGGTAATTTTACTTAAACTAATAATTTTTAAAGAATTTAAGAATAAGGATTCGGGCGAGTTAAATAGTGACGGAAATTAAAAAGCAAGAGGGGGAAAAATAAGTAATAAATAGGGGAGAGGTGGGACAGCCTGAAATTTATAATTAGGAGTGTTGCCTTAATACTATTATTTTATGTAAACAATTAAATCTATTTAGCGGAAACTTCTTTGTTTTTCTGAGTGCGCTAGAAGCCCTAGTTTTTAAATGTACCTTAAAAAAGTGTTTACATTGGGGTATAGTGGGACAGAAAAAAGAAATATTTACGCCCCGCTTCTTTCCGTTGCCATTTGATTATTTCGATTGGGAAAACTCTTGAACTTTTTTATGTCGATTAGATAGTTTTATGATTTTATCAGTTTATTTAATAATTTGTGTTAAAATGTTGTTTTAAATTTATTTGTCTTACTTCTACTCACACTTGTCCCACTTTACCCCAATGGCATGGTTTCTCTAAAAGCAAAAATTTATAAACTTAGTTATAATTGGCTGGAAACCTAAGGGGATTGAATCTTTGCCTAAAAAGAAGGTTTATTTGTTAAAACTTGTTTGGTTCAATTTATACATCAAATAAAAAAAATATTGCAATTGCCCCCAAAAAAAATTTACGTGTTCCACTTCTCCCCACTCTCCCCTAAATAAAAAAATGTTATAAATATTTATCGGTTCAGAAACTTGAAACTTTTTATTACTATATGTTTGTTTTTTATTAATATTTATTAAAAAGATAATAATAAAGTGTTCAATGTAAATAATATATATATAAGAAATAATAAAAATAACATTTTTAATAAATAGTTCATTAGTTTTTAGTTATAATATTATTTGGTCTCGATGATCTAATAAAAGATTTGAGAAAAACTTAATAGTTCCAGGTTTCAGAAGTATATTTTTGCAACCTCTGGAAAACTGGAAGAAAGGCAACCTCTGGAAAACTGGAAGAGAGACTATTGAGATTTTCAGACTTTTGAAACCTCTTAGAAAGTAAATTGTAGCAAATTTATAACTTTATCTATTTAATCTATAATAAATCTATTTCAAATAATTTATTTCAAATAGATTTTTATATATAAAACGTTATAAATAATCTATTTAAAACGTTAAAATATAGATTAAAACTATTTTAAAATTAAAAATAAAAAACCTTTAGGTCCAACCAAAAAAAAAGGTATACTTAGTATTGAACTTTTTGATGTCTTATACATGAACTAGGGTTGTCAAAAGACAATAATTTATGGCGAAAACGTAGTGCAAAACTAATTTTTATATAAAATTTGTCCCTAAATTACTCTCCTACATATATAAACGGATTTTGACATCTCAAATATAAACCTTTTACACATCGTGCAAACTATTAAATTAAACAGGTTCATGCTTAAATATGTTTAGTACAAGGTTTTAATGAAAGAATAAAAATGTAAAACATTGACATTGACGACTGCTTCATCGACATTTGCTTTTTTCAATGCCAGCGCATTTTTTTTTTTTTTTTTTTTTTTTTTTTTTTTTGTCAAAAGTAAACTTAACTAGAGACTCTAGCCACTAAAAGCAGAATTACGCTGGGCTCTGGAAGACGGATTTTAATTTGGGAGCCTAAACTTCTTGTGTAGCCCACTTAAGGGTTTATTTATAGCTACTTATCCGTAACTAAGCAGAGCTCACTTAAGAATTTGCTTAACTTTTTTTTTTATACTTTTTTCAAACCTAATATTTTTGTTTGGTTTCTATGAAGTTATTCATTTTTATTTTTTTTATATATAGTTTTAGATTTTTGTTTTTAATTTTATTAGGTTTTGTATTTTTGTTTTGTTTTTATATTTTTTGTTTTATGGTTTTATAAGTTTAAAATGGGTCCTAAACATGAATTTTTTTTTGTCTTTTTGCTTGGTTTATAGTGTATTCTAGTTTATAGCTTCCCTTGCTTTTTTCCTCTCTTTATTTGCTGATTTCTTTCAACTTCTCCTTTTCGTATTCGTCTTTTTATATCTTTTAAACACTGTTAGTTCTTGTTCAGAACAGTTATTTTTATCAAAACCTCTAAAGTAAAGCCAGTTCTAGTCAACAATTCTAATGCTACTCATTTTTTGAAATTCTTTAGGGAGTTCAATATCACTTAAATATAAATATATATAAAATATATATATATATATATATATATATATACATATATATATATATATATATATATATATATATATATATATATATATATATATATATATATATATATATATATATATATATATATATATATATATATATATATATATATATATATATATATATATATATATATATATATATATATATATATATATATATATATATATATATATTTATATATATATATATATATATATATATATATATATATATATATATATATATATATATATATATATATATATATATATATATATATATATATATATATATATATATTGCTAGTATCACTCTGCTCAATTAGACCAATATTTTCAGTTGTTTTTTTCCTGTTTAGTTTTTTTGCGCTTGGGCAACGTTTAATAAAGGTTCCGATAAAACCGAACATTCAGTTTCTACAAAATTTTCTGACATTTATAATATTTTCTGTGTATGGATTCTCAGTTCTTTCGTTTTTGTCCATTGTAGATAATTGACACATTGCATCGTCCATGTTTTAATGACTTTGATTTGGGATATTCTAGTTTGTCTATGACTGCTACAATAATTCCATAGTAGAATGGAGTTTGGTTTTTAGGAGTCTTTTAGGAGTCTTACCGGCTTAGTGTGGGTATTCCAAATAGAAGTTATTCATAAGTCTTTCCCGTTTCAAACCTCATTTTTTCAAGTGGTAAGCCGAGAACAGACACCGCCAATCACTTATTTATATAAATTGTTCAAGTTAAGTT